AAAATGAGGACCCAGATTGTTGGGGGCAATATGCTGACTCTCTGTAAAACCGCTTAGAGAGGCCTGAAAGGCCTATGAAGCGGCATATAAGTCTACTGCTATTGCTATTGCTATTGTTGCAATGCATGTTTTTCCATTTTTGTGTCATCACTATCTGCACCCGATGCCCAGGTGGATATCCGTGCATTCATTCTTTCCTTGTCTGACAGACAAAGTGCTAGAACAGCCCTATGAACATTTCAATGTCAATTTTTTTAAATAAAATATTCATTTTCATATTTTAATTTTTTAAAAAAATGCTACTTAAAAGATCTGAGATCATTATAATGTGGTTGTGTTTACACAATATTCTAAATCAGAATGCAGTCTGGTTTCTCCTTAACATCTTTATTGAAGATGTTACATTATTATTTATTGATGAAACCACAACTAGTTGGATTTGCCTACTACCCTAAGAAAATGCCAATTAAATCATGGTAAAGGTAAAGGTTTCTCTTGCACATATGTGCTAATTGTTCCCGATTCTAGGGGGCGGTGCTCATTTATGTTTCAAAGCCGAAGAGCCAGCGCTGTCTGAAGACGTCTCTGTGGTCATGTGGCCAGCATGGCTAAACACCAAAGGCACACGGAACATTGTTACCTCCCCACCAAAAGTGGGAAGGGGTTCCTATTTGTCTACTTGCATTTTTACATGCTTTCGAACTGCTAGGTTGGCAGAAGCTGGGACAAGTAATGGGAGCTCACTTCATTACACGGTGCTAGGGATTCGAACTGCCAAACTGCTGACCTTTCTGATCGACAAGCTCAGCATCTTAGCCACTGAGCCACCACATCCCTTAACAAACATGTTACCGTTTAGCATATTGCCTGCGCATGTCTGTATATCAGTTTTTCCCAACCTGCTGCCTCCAAACATAGCTGCCATAACTTACTGTAATAAATATGTTCCCTAAGAATCATAGGAATTCTAATATGTTTAGAAGGCACCAGACTGGTATAAGTATCAGCAAGAACTGTTACTGTTATTGTTATATTATTTACCATAGATTCAGAAGGATTTACTCCTAGTTAAGTATGTAAAAGATTACAGTTTTAATTAGAAATTGCATTTATGACTTAATACAACAATACTCATCTTTTATCCATTTTCTTTCCAAAGTCTATTATATGAGGATGGAAAACTTTTGAAGTCCAACGCAAAAGTATCACTATTTTTGGATACTGAGATTAGTAGAATACTCATTGTTGATCTCTACATGATCCTAAAATTAATTTTTAGACAATTTAATTTAAAAAATGGGTAAAATCCTGCAAGATTGTTAAATTTTATAAGATGTTGGTATTTCTATCTAAAGCTCTGAAATTTGGAATAAAAATCGTGAAATGTCATTAGATTTCAGGCACAAACACCAAAATCTCACACAATTTGATGATCTTCTGAACTTTTGGCCATTTAGAAACATATATTTTTGTGTTGATGTGGTATCCCCAAAGGAAAACTTGTGTTCTCACAGACTGAGAGTAATTTATGGAGAGCAGAGAAAATATATGTCATGGGAAAAAAGCTTACTGTGTTTTCACTGCAACAATTGGTGTTAAAAAAGGATCACATTTTCCTTACACGTCATACTTCATCTATAAGCAGACATTTATTTGAAAATGCACCATATATCCAAATGTATTTACGCTACATAATATGTTTCTAAGAATATATGCTTGCTCCACATGTACACATATCTGAATGACTAATTTTGTCTGCTTTACTCTTTAGGAATATGTGTCTTTTGGTTTTCAGAGCGAATAGACTGCTAGGCAGCTTAGCTGTAAACTGCCTCTTCATTAGCTGCTACAGCAACTAAAGTGGCACCTTATCATAATAAGCAAGCAGAGCTGTGCAGCAGTTCAAAGCGGTAAGGAAATTAATTTCTCTCTTGATGCATAGACAATGTGTTAATTAAGATGTCAAATGAGAATTTTAGGAGCCTTGTTTATTCGCTGAAAATGTTGTCACTGCCCTTCCTACTGAATCTGAAAAAAGTGTTGTTTTCTTGATTAAGGCCTTTTTCTCTAGTTCTGCAAGGATGTCTAGTTGCCCAAAATGAGCTCTAGAAAACGCTCTTTCAAGGTGTTGAGGCATATAAATTAAATACTTTTCTAACTGGGAGGCTAATCCAGCCACTTCAAGAATTTAACATGTTTAAGTGCTGCAATATCATCTTGGACAGTCACATCAATGACTTTTTGTTTAAGAGTTTTCTAGGTCTTCACATCTGGATTTGCCTGAGAAATGTGGAGAATCCACATTGTGAAATGGGGTTTGAAAGTTGGGCACAGGAGGCATGTTATGCAACTGCTCTTTGAAGCACAGCTTCAAATTGAGTCTAGGCAATTTATAAAGGCCATGGCAAGAAAGAAATCAGGATTAGAAACAGCACAAGAATTGAACACATACTTGCAGTAGTGGATTTACTAGAAGAGTTCTGTTCTATTATGTTGTATATTTTTGTTTTATGAAACTATATAGACTTATCTGGAAAATAATATTTCAGGGGGTTTACATGTAAATAACATAGTGTTGTTTTTGTGCAGGACTGTCATAATTTCTCCTAAAATGTTTCCTAATATAATTACAGTTGGTTGCCATGGGATTATTTTAATATTTGCTATCTTCTTCCTAATGAATGAACAGACACCTCTTTAAATTATATATTAGTTTAGTTTTAGTTTTATTAGTTTTATTATTATTTATAGGCCGCCCTTTTCCCTGAGGGGACTCAGGGCGGCTTACAAAATATAGGGAGGGGGGTACAANAGAATATAAACTGAGAGCAAACCCCACTCTCTACTAGCACTGATGATGTTACCTAGTTTGGGTAATTGAATGCAATAAACCAACCAAACTCGGAAAGCATCAAGGATATCTCAAAACAAATTTTAATTTTCAAATATAAAATACTGTTATAACATAGATATATCAACTTATTGCACTAGAACCTACTAATCAGGATATAAAGGATTTTTATTTGAAAATTGTTAATTGTTACAATTAATATTTTTATGACAATAAACCTAAAGATCAATTTAGAATCCTCTACCAAAAAAAGACCAGTATACCAAACAATTACATTTATCTCTCATAAACTACAACAAATTGTAGATGGTCCTAAAAATCATGGGTGAATTTATTTGATGATCAGGAACCAAAAATTAAAATAAAGTTTGAAGAAACTGAAAGTTGAGACAGAATGACATCAAAGTAAGACTGTATAATCAGCTTTTTTCAATGTAACACCAAATTTATTCTGAGAAATGCTGGAATAGAACAGATAGAAATTGGCATTAAAAATCCTGGGAGAAACTTCAACAATTTCAGTTATCCTGATAATGCTATTGATTTGGCTAGAAGTGAAAAATGTTACTAAAAGTGAAAGAAAAGAACATGACCACAATTAATTTAAAGCCTTGATTGTGTTAACAGGTAATACCAACTGAATGCAAAGATACAGAGAAGAAATTAACACAGGAACAGACTATTTTCCTTAGCTCACAGTTATGTTATACACTGTATTACCCGACCTATGGTTTTACATGGCTGTAAAGCTGGACTTTCAAAAAGGGGAGAAACCTTTGAATTGCAGTGTTGAAAAAAATGGTTGACATAGAGCAAGAGTAAATCATATAAAACTAAATGAAGTAAAATCAGATTGCACAATGGAAGATAATAATGAATCTAACACCTGCTTATTTTGAATAGATAATACAAAGAAAGATCCTGATGTTTAGGGAAAAATGAGAAGCAATAAAAAAGAAGGCAACAGAAGGCATACCTTAAGTTACTTATTGCCTCAAAACTTTGGTTTTGCACATGCTTTACTTGAAAATATTTGAAATTCTTGATAAACATATACAGTAAATTTGTGTCTATTTCAGAAACTTGTGCCCTAAAATGCATAAATCTTATTCTAGATTTAAGAATTTAACTGTTAATTTTTTCTTGTAATTTTACATGAAACATTTTTAAACCTGGAAAATGAGGGAAAGAGGTAAGAGTGTTATTTAGTAGTATATTGTCTTTCTCAACTTTCTAAAACTCTTGGATCCACACCTGGACCTTCCTATTGTTTGGACTTTTAGGAATAAAAAAAACCATGGTTAGATTATTTTGATATGCACTGAGAACAGTGACCCCGATTCTCAAAATTTCAGTATATCACACGTATTTCCAAAGTGACCACTGACCAAACAGATAGGTATGATGTCGATTTTTTTTTGCACTGAATAGGGATACAACATTTAGTACTACAATTAGAAAATTTTGAGAACTCTGTAAAACTGAGTTGTCCTCCATTTGGGGTATTTTTGAAGATGTGCGAAAGAAAATCTCTTCCCAAGCACAATTTAGAGAATTTGGATAAAAAATGGGCAAGTAATTTAGTGCTGTTCAGAAGATTGGTTTGAATCATATATACTGAGGAATGTTAAATATCTGGATGCTTTCTCCCCCCCCCCCCATCTCAAAAGACCTAGAAATCGTGAATACAACTTTCTAAATATGAAATTGACCATGGAAGTCAATTTATATCTGCACTACTCAACATGGTTTTATATATCCGGGTTTTTAGAAAAAGGTTCTTCTCATAGACAGAGCAAAACTTCGCAGCATCTAGCATCATTCGGGAGCTTCAAAATTCACTATAACTTTGACTCAGCCTATAAAGGGAGGTGAAGAGCCATAAATGAAGGGTCCAAAAAGGGGAGCTGCTTACCTTGGGGGATCTGAAAATTAGCAGGCAATTGTATTGTCATTTGTGCGGATTTGGGTCCTCCCGAGGGAGGGACTGGCTGCCTCACACCCATGTTGCTTGACTTGGAGAGCTGCCGCCCAGGAGTCGAGGGGGCTAGTTTGATTCCTATGGGGGCAGGCAGCACTCGGGGTTGAGGAGCGAAGGATGGGACGAAGCTAAGGGGAAGCCTGGCGCCCACGGGATTCAGGACAAACCTAACAGGGCTGCCCGTGGGAATCGCCGGACAGGAGGGAGAGGGGACCGTTCTCCGAGCGGGCACCACTGCCCGGGGTTCCTGCTTCCCGCTAGCCGCGTTCACAGGGGGATCGGCGGCCAAAGCAGCATGTTCGGGAGGCCCAGGGGCCATGTCCCTCCCCAGGACGGCTGCCGCCGCCGCCGGCGCAGGAGTAGTCATGAAGGAGGAAAAAGGCACCGGAGGGCACAGGAATAGAGTTTGAGGCGCAGCCCGAGCTATTCCACAGCATAGCAGCCGCCAAAGGTGCTTGGGAGCTGAGCAAAAGCTCCGCAGTTGGCGGTGCGGCAAAACCAGGAGTCCCCAGCTCGCAGGCAAACAACCACACGGTCACGCGTCCGCCGCTGCCGACCCTTTTCTTCTCCTTCGCAGGCATGCACGTGGGGATCCCCAGCCCCCCCTCCCCCACACACACCAGAAGCGTAAGGGAAGGAACAAGCGGCACGTGCCCCGCCAGAAACTAAGAACGGCTCTCGCTCTCATTTATGTAGCATCGCAGAGCGCAGGCGTGCACGCCCTCTGGCTCCCTCAGCACATGCACCCAATCGTTGGATTGGGCAGCCTTCCTGGGACGTCACAGAAAGGAAACGTTCCTCCCCCCCTCCCTCCCGAAAAGGCTGTTCTAGGCGGGAAAGTCGGTGGTAAGCTGTGTGACTCATTTTTACTTTCGGCTCTGTTATGCTTCAGGTTCCCTGAAAGTTATTTATTACTCCAGAACTTCGCTTAATTGGTAACAGCAAATTAATCAAGGGAAACATTCGCAAAGAAGGGTTGACTCATGAGAAAAGGAATAGGGACGTTCACATCAATTTGTGCTATATCCAAGGATAACAAGCAGGTTCTCCCTTCTCTTAATTTGACGTGTGCTATTGAATGAGCTCATGTTTCAAATTTTCACAGTACTAAGTACCACAAATCAATTGAAACTACGGTAGCCATAAGAATTTGTCAAAAATATAAGTTACACGGGCTCTAGGGAATTTTGCCTGCGTACATTTGCCCACGAATGGCTGAAAATCCAAGGCTTTTCTCACATTCCAAAGTTTCCATGAAGAAAGCAATGAAGACAAGTAATGCCACATGGTCTGTACAGACTCACACAACTATATAAATGATGTAATCCATGGCATTTACATATGTAGGAAGTCATCACCCAGCCCTCTCCCAGAAAAATGAAATATCCTAGGAAATATTGAAAAGGCAGAATATTTCCTCTGGATGTGAAAAGAAAGAAACATGTTTTAAAAGACAGAATAGTTGCTTGCAGCTTCCTCTCCATCCCNAAGGTCTGGGCTCCTCGGGTCCCCTGAATTCCGGACATCCCCGGGACCTTCTTCGAGGCTCGAAGTTGTTTAGTTTTTAGGTTTTTTTCAGCGTTTGCTCACCTCGTCAGACCGGAGCAGAACGCCTGGACGCCATTTTTCGGTCTCGCACATGCGCAGATATATAAATGCAGTTCCCCACCCCCCTTTAGATATCCTATAAAATAACTGCTCAGTTATTGGGTCCAGGTGATGTTTAACCTGTTAGTCCCACTGATCTGAAAGTAAGTAGCAATTTGCTTTCTATCCGCAGTGCTCAAGAACTATAAATTCACTTGCAGTATTATAAATCCATTTATCTGAGCTACTGAAGAAAATCAATTACAATATAATTGTTTATATTTCTCTTCTCCACTGGTACGGTACATCAAAATCTTTCATAATGAGAAAAAAATAAGATATACATATTTTTGTAGCTCTGGGACACAGTAAGCATGTCACAATTGCTACCTGATCACTGGAAGTGAAATTGGATCCAAATAGTGGGTTCGCAAAAGTATAAATAAACCATATTAGCAATATAAGAGTTGTTTTATAAACGTGTATTTATTATCATTCTTGCATTTATATTCAATAAAAAGCATAAACTCTAACTACAAATAGCTTACTATTTGTAGTTAGAGTTTATGATTTTTATTGAATATAAATGCAAGAATAATAAATGACTGTTCTTTTGAAAACTTGCACATGAATATGCAAATCACATATAGTCATTTTTTTCTGTTATGAATCCTGTTCAGTTTCTTCTGGAAAGACTGAAGATTTATGATATCCATTCAACTCTGAAGATGTAGAGGTTTCATCTGGTCCATCAGCTGTTAGCCAAACCTGACTTTGGACCCAAACGTTTTTGCTCTGGCTTTCTGTCTTTGGCATAAAGCAGCCAGGGAATTTGCTGCCTATGAATCTCAAAATCAGAGAAGGGATAACTGGGTGACTGGGTAACAAAACACAATTAGCTGGGTTCAGGCAACCCAATAAGAATGCTTTGCTCATTCATGTGGGATACATTCGTTGGACGAAGGTGAGTGCCTTGCCCAGAATTAAGATTAATTTATTTGTAAGTTATAATATAACTATGATCTTACATAGTTTAGGGGCTGGTTACTTGAGGGACCATCTATCTCCTGTAGAATCTGCCTGGCTGATCTGATCTAGCAAGGTAGGCAAACTTCAAGGTCCATCAATTAAAAAACAACACCTATCAGGGCTCTTGAAGTACACCTTATAGCGAACCTACATTCTGGAATAAGGTTTCCCCAAGATTCAAATAACCCACTGGTGTTTTGAAGGGTCTTGAAGACGTAGATGTTTACCTTTGGGAAGGATGATTTCTTTGTCCCCATCCAGTTTTGTTATTTCTGCCATTTTTATTCATTTGGCGGGGGGGGGGGGTGTTTTGCTTTGAAATGGTTTTAACAATATGTAAATTGCCCCAAATCTCTAGGAATCAGGCAACAAGTACATGTAATACATCATCATCATCATTATATCATTTGTAAGTTATGATAGCAATGCAGTACTCATGTTGTCAATCCTCATATCTAAAGGTCAGATGCCACATTAACACATTGTGACCAAACCTAATGATGTTTTTTTTTGTTTTAGCCAAAAATATGAATCAGAATAGCCTATACGTACGGTATATATCATATGCCATACTAAACCAAGGGTTGTTAAAGATTATTGAATCATCATCAGCAGGCATGACTGCATATAATGGTAAATTATAAGTTATGATTTACAAACCAATGATTAGTTCTATCAAGAATGTAAACCAAAACAACATTATGATTTTAGTACAGTGTATTAAGCCAGCAAGCAAGTAGCTGTAATTATCAATAATAAACTGACAGGGTCTGTCTGAAAAGAGTCTCTTGTATATTTCCAACAACTTGATGACAAAAAAAAATTGTTTCAAGAAGACAAAGTATAGGAAAAACATGACCTTAAATTCTCAGTGGCATGTATTTATTAGAAATTCACAAGATACTCCTAAAAAAAGGGGTAACCTAGACATAGAACTTTTACAGTTTGCTACCAGACTGTGAGAGAAATAATATAGCACAATAAAGAGCTGAAGGCACAATGTATTATTGTGATGTGAAGGTTTGCCAATTTGTCTGTGATGCTTTATCTTTACAAATTCAATATACTTCAATATACTAGTTTAACATTATATTGTATGAAAATTACATAAAGCTGATTCTGAAGCATCAATACTTTTCAATATATTACTTTGGGTCTGTCCTGGATTTTTCATAGGATAATATAGTGGGTTGATGGAAAAATAGTGGGTTGGATTTTCTTCTTTTTTTCCATGTATATATGTATCCCTTTTAAAAATACATAGATCCAAAATAAGAAAAAGAAAGACAATTTGTGGAAAACCCAACCAATGAAACAAAACATTTAGAGGTGATATATCTGGTTTATGAAAAATTGCCAAAAGGTTTCCCTCTTATTTTTACTCCTTGGTACAGTATTAAAATAATGGGAAACAAATGCTTTCTAAAATTCACTAAATGGAAATATGAGCCAAATCTTGTGATACTGAAAATTTCTGTTACTGATATTATACATCATATGGCTTGCTTCATTTCCATTTGGCAAAACATTGTGAGATCATATTTCAGATGTCAATTCTGGTTTTTTTGTTTGTTTGTTTGTTTGTTTGTTTGATGGGAATGCATATACTCCATATTTCTATCCTACCAGGCATGACTCTTTAAATAAATTGATATTTTTGCAAAGTTTTAATATGTTGTCTCATACCAGAGCAGTTCTAAATTCCAGTTAAAACCAATAGAAATTTAAATTCTGGTTTCATTTCCATTACCGATATCTGAAAAGATTGTTCTTCCAGACTATGTCATACATACAAGTATATAAAAAAAGAATGTAATAGAGAAGCTAAGCAGAACAACCACTTATGAGCCAGAATATTTTCATATTGCTTGTTTATGACATAGTTACATCAATAGACCATGGTTAAATATTAAAACTCTGGCTTCATTAATTGGGCAGAGGACTATTGGTTATTGGCTGATTTGAATGTGCGGTGGAAAAATATTTTAAGTTACCTTTGGAATTATTGATTCAGAAGAATGACATAAATGTTTTAAATATCTTAAATAATAGCAATAGGAAACCAGCCATCAAAAGTAAATCATTAAATAGGAATAGAAATAAACAAACATCACCTGTATGGAATTGATATAAATTATTCTAACTAGTAACAGTGATTTTCAACTGAAAATTCATGAAGTGCACAAGGTGTCCCCTAACATCTGGTGGTACAACATTATGTGACTTCTGTTATCATTGTCTCTAGACTGACAATGCTGTGAGCTGTAGTAATTGATGCTAATTTATAATATACTGTAAGAAGCCCCATATTGAGAACATTACGGGTATGAAAGAGTTCTGGGAAACCATATGAAAACATAATTGTGTGCATTATTTAGGGAGAAATTATCATTATAATTTCCACAGTGTGACAATCAGTTTTGTTAACATACAATTCTGCAGAATAAATTTTACAATTAATATTTTAGGGAAAACATACCACAGCTATCATGATTGCTTCTGTGCATCTGCCACAGTGGGAAAGATGTATTCATGGCATTAAAAAAAGTAGAAAAATATGGTCCATACATGCATTTTTAGAGGGGGGGGCATTACTTCACTTGAAGCATGTTAAGAATGCTGGATGCCATCAGGTTCTATGCAAATATACTTTCTTTTTAACACTGCATTTTTTCTTCTTTATAACTTGAAACCAAGTCAGTTATTGATATAAGAAACTGTAGCTTCTGCTCTATATGTTGTTCTGAAATCATTTTGGTAACAAAGATGGCATGCTTTAGACTTATTTATTAAATAATATAATCTTGTGAGGCATTCCTGTACCTTCTTTCTGAAATAGTAATCCACCTCTGTCTCATCTCTGTGATCCATATCTCCTCAATCTGTTTGCTCCGAAGACCTGACTCTTTCCAAAATAACAAGACTAAAAGGACATATATACCTATCAGTAAGGCCGAGCTGGGTTGTAAATTGTGATGATTTTCTT